AAAAGTTGAAGAAGAATTTTTAGAAGCAAATAGTAAGGACTGAAAAGTCTAAGCTAAAAATATTTGTAGAGTTCTTAAAAAAACATTCACACATTTTTGTTTACATCTGCACATGTGCTGCTCTGTCAGATTTGGGATCAAAATATTAAAATCCTTATGGAGAAGTTTTAATTTTATGGTTTTCGAGAGTACAAGCTATCCCTTTTTATTAACATAATTTCCACATGTGCACACAGTCCACAGCCATGGTGTAAGCCTCTGTGTTCAGCATCTGTAGCTACCCCAAATTATCAGAGTGAAAGCTCTTTACTTTTTCAAACCTTATAAAGCCGATACATCCATTAACAATCTTGCACAGACATACCTGCGGGTTGTTGATTTGTAAATAAACATTTAAATCCCTAAAGCTCGCTTGAAAAATCATTAAGACTTAAGTAAAAATGGTTCGTGCTTTTAATCAAGCTACAAAAGGGTGCAAGCAGACAGCTTCTGAATCCTGGGAAAGCTTCACAGGAAAAGATTGATAGTAAAACTTAAAACTTGTAGGCGATCATTCTAGAAGCAACTGTGCTCACAGGAACTTCAAAAACTACACCGAGTCTTACTAGTCAATTTCTGGACCACGAATTCATCTCTTACTATCACTGTGAACTATGAATTCACCTACGGCTATCTACTACTATCACTATCCGCTTTGTCCTATTATGTTGAAGCTGCACATTTGTTAGCTTGTGTAATAAAGTAAAAGCAGCACTGAAAGAGCCTCAAAACGCTGAATCTCGTTTCAAAATTATTACCAAAAGTAGCAATTATCTTATAAATAACAAAGAAAAAAGTAGAAGAAAGCTATGTGTCTTTATAAAATACATCTTTATATATGTCTTTATAAAAGACCTAAAATATAAAATATATGTCTTTATAAAATAGCAGACGATGAAAAGGCACCAAAGGCTGGTGCCCTCCTCTGCTGCCTCACCATTGCACCTGGGTACTCACTGTGAGGTACCAGAACTGCCGGCCCAACGGAAGATAGATTCTCATTGTGCAATTCGCCTTCAGCTGACAAAGAGTTAAAGATGGGACACAAACCCACAGAAAGGCATGTATTTTCTGTTAGGCCCGTCGCTGACAATAAAAATCATGTACTCTTGATATATCCAAAAAAAAGAAACCAAGCATACTGCAATTCCTGCACCAGAAAGACTGTGGCTGGTTTTTAAGGTTTAAGTTTGACCTTTGTTTTCCAACATGGCTTTTTGTATTTTGGCTCATTACAGCATTCATACTCTATCAGATATTCCTTTCAGAGGGTTTCAGCGGATGCCAGCAGCTGGGAAGCTCAGCCAGCAGCCAAACAATGCCCGAGTTCAGAAGCAAGCCCAGGATTCCTGCCTCCAGGCTTGGCAAGTACTGGGACTGCTACGGAGGTGCTTCGAGCCCATCAGTCTCTGGAAGACAGCCACCCTCTGTCTCTTCTACAACCCCTCCCCTTGTCCCCAGCAGCCAATTCGGTCTGCAGTCGGGCTCACTGTTAACTAAGCATTAGGAGGATAAAAGTATACACGGAGGTCCAAAATGGAAAGCCAAGAATAATGGTGTGGTTGAAAACACACTCATGCCTGAGCTGCATTCCTGATAGTTATTGCTGTTCCTTTTTGAGATAGCAACAGAAGAAGTACAACATGATGCCAAAAGATTTCTAGTTGTCAAGCAGAAGAAATATGGGCTAACCCTCCGTTATGCATGAATCAAATGCATTAACAGAAAACCTAATGGATGCCTTGAAATGCACTTAACCAAAACAAACTGTGTGGTAATACATGTTGGATCACATACTCATTCACTCCCTTCTGGCACACGCACAGCGTGCACACATCCATATGGATTTATTTCTCTTTATTTCACCACTTGAAGATGATGTGGCTACTGTAGACCACTGCAGACTCTATCCCACTTCAGTCCTGGTCACTCACTCCAACTGATGGTTGCTCAATATGACTTGCTATGGTAAAGTAAAGCATTCCACAAGGTAAAAATCAACCACATTAAGGCTCAAAAGCAGCTATAACTAACTCGTAAAAGTTGGCCTCCAGCTGCAATGCTAAAGGCCCTGCACACAGCAAATGCTTTCCCTGTCTGCATCACCGTACTACCTACTATGGCTCTCAACAGTTTGCTTTTTGCCCAGGATGTAGTTTACGTGCGAAAGCAGGGTAATCAAATCTTACTCACTTCACTTCTTGAAGCAACTGCCCGATGGAGAGGAGTCAGCCACATATTGTCCTTGGCATTAACACGAGCGCCTGCAAGCAAACAGCAGAGGTTACATCCATGCCTTGGGTGCCACACTGAAACCTTGCCCAACTGTTTCCTAGTAACAAGAGATGAGCCATATGCGGTACTCTCAGCGCTCCCCACGACTCTCCTGACACCCTGCTCACCTTGGAAATGCATTTCCAGGTCCCAGATAGATAGGATGAAGAATGATTTGGAAAGAAAGGAACTGGACAGGTCAGACTATTATCAGGAATAGCTTTGTTTACAGGACACAAAAGCAGCAAGATTTGCTATAAGGGATTACATATGTAGGTATGTATGTATATACATATATGTTTATGTAAATGCATTTTTTTAGATCAACTGATACAGCTGGGGGGAAAAAAAGCAACCCTTTGTGCAGAGCACTGCTGCTGTCTGCAGACATAATGAAGGGAACAAGCCTGAACAACTGCCTCTTGTTTCCAGCTCCATCAGGCAGACCACTGAAAGACGTAATTGCTTCTCTGCTTCGCAAACCTTGCTGGGAACAAGAAAACAGGACAGGGAAATGCTCAGGTCGAGGACGAAAATGGACATTTAGTACCTCAGCTTCTGTGGGTGTTATTCGGCAAACATCAGAAGAGGGATGAAGGAGACTATCTGTGTCTTCTGTGTGGTTCAGCACTACCACGCACTCCAACAAAGACAGCTGCACAAGAGGATGGGTTTGGGGTGGCTTGCCAGAATAAAGGATAAAGGAAGAATATTTAACAACTACAGCGGTGCTGGCTGACTGCAGAGCAGAAAAAAAAATAAGGAACCTGTACGTTTGTGTGATAAAACAGATTTGTTTGAAAGAAATATTAAAGCTATTCACTGATGTGATGCCCCAGAAAGGAAATCTAGTGAAAAGGACTAGAGAGACTAATTTTAAAAAGGGCTCAACCTGAAAATGCTGTACCTCAGGTCTGCAGTTAGCAGTACTAGTCTGAGAAGACAAGTACACGCAGAAAAATTTTAGAGAAACACAAGCGCCAGGCACATAGCCCGGATAAGCCTCCGAACTTCATGAACAAAGGGATTCTTAAGCTTCATTTTGCACCACAACTTCAGCGCATACAAAAGCCTGTAATTAATAAATCACACTCTCTGAATCAGAAGTACTTTCCGTGAGCCTTTTCTCAGGAGTATTAAGGTGCTCGCCTCTGAATCACAGTGGTTACTGGTTCTAGATAATCAAAGAAACAAGTTCTTTCATATTTCCACAAGCTGGGATATAATTTTTTGGCCGCAAGAAAAAGAAAGCCACTTTCATAACTACTGCAAGAGTTAGAAGCAATCTTCCGAACTCACCTCAGAACCTGGTACCTAGTGGTACAACCTGCCCCATGGAAAAACATCCTTTAGACAAGACAACAGTTTCAAAGAGTTTTCTAATGAATCTGTCTAACCTAAGCAAGGAAGCTGTCAGCTTCTTTTGTCTTCATGAGAAGTCTATTATGGTTAACACATGTATCCTGCCCTTTGCCTGCACTGCCCAAGGCTCTAAAGACACATAAGGCAACAACCTCCTCCACCATTAGGAATCTGACAGACAGGACTCCTCCAAGGCACCTTACCTTATACTGATTTGGCCTGGTAGGGGTCTTGGGGATGCAGACTGCCTAGATGAATTCCTAACGATTGCCAACAAATACCTCTTTTCAGGTTTAGAAATTTATTTTGTGTTTGCCTTGGTTTTTTTGCTTTATGTTCTCAACTAAGGTTTCTTCTGGTTTATTTCTACCCATTCACTAACTCCTACAAGCAGATGGTTGCAAATCAGAAAGGCTTATGTGTGGAGTAGCAAAGTGTGACAAACATATCATTCCTCAGTATTCAGCAACTCCAGTGGCATTGGTGAAAATGAGAAGTGTCTCCGTCAGTAGCTATTCATGCCTTGCACTGATCCACTTACCCTGTGAGAAACTGGAACAGTTGCCAAGAAAACAGCTGAAGAAAATAATAAAAGCAAAACAATACCAGTATAAATAAAATAATACTCAGCATGCTATCAGTCTTTTCTTCCTCAGCTGTTCTCATCCCTTTACCTCTTGGTGCTTTGGGGCTCTTTATGTGACAAAGTGAAATTGCTCTTACAAATCTAATTCAATGCATCAGCTGAATACATTCGCTGTTTCTGAATACATTAGTGATTTCTGCTTTTAAAGAGCTGCACAATTCAGCTGTTGCCTGCTAGAGGAGCCACTGTTGTCCGTTCACTGAGGTGCACATTTTCTGAAGAGACATTTCAATATGTTTCCCTCCATATCGCCCATTTCCTTCACCAAAACTCAGCTTTTAGATTCCCAGCAGTTCCTTGCAGGCAATGGTTAATGACAATGAAAAAAACTTGACCAGCACTGATGCACTCCTTCAGGGACAGAAAATACCTGCCATTTTAAAGGAGATCAAGCGGAGGCACCCAGGGAGCAACGCTCATGTTTTCAAAGGTGACCTTTACACTTCATGAACTTGAGCGTCCATCCTGTGACAGCCCGGGGGACAGCTCTTTGAAAGCACTGAATAACACAGAAATCCAACTCTAAGTGCTCTACAACATGCTAAGGCACTTAAAATGAGCTGTGTCCAAAAATCAGCAGCTTAAATTCTCAAGTCCATCCCACAACACTTCCTTAAAGTCACCCAGAAACTCAGTGTCCCTCTCTTCACTCTAGACCAAGTACCTTAACCATGCTTCAATGCACTTCCTACAACACTCTGTGAATTAATCTGTATGTTTATAAGGACAAAGACAACTGGTAACACACTCAAAGTGGTGTAAATGGTGTCCTTCAGAGTACCATCTTCCTCAAAAAGATAAGCTGCTTTAAAGATTTCTCTTAATATCCTTCCAGGTGGCCACAGCACCCACCCACTCCATAAAATACCCACTTTAAAAAAAAACCCTCTCCAGAGAAAATCCTTTTTTCAGCCCCATCCTCTGCACGCTGCCCTCGGGAGAGGGCTGAAGGGAAGGCTTGGCTGTGGGATTTGCTCTGTGAGCTTGAAGCAGACAGCAGAACATATAATGTTACAGAAAAAATCAACAGAGAGGAAACTTTCTGTAATCCACTCTTCTTTAATATGGCTAGTTTGTAATCTTTGCCATCTTTCACTCTCAAATTTTTCTGCCAAAAGAGGAAATAAATCTGAAATTGCCTCTGTTCTTTTGGGATCCGAAATAAACAACCCAATGCTGGCTTTCAGGAATAAAGTTAACATCTCTTTATTCTAACCAAAGTACAATTTTCCATCCAGCACATCTGCCAAATCCACAGGTCTCTAATAAATCTAGATTCTGTAGTCTAAATATCTGAAATTAGAGATGGTCAACAGAGGAAGGAAACTCTACTCCTTGACCTATTAATGACATTATTAACGTGCACCTTTTCAACTCCTGCTATGATATGAGACTCGGCGGTAGACACACAAAAAATATAAGGAACGTCCTCCCATCTACCTCCCACCCCACCCTCAGACACACAATACAAAGCAAAGATCAGCACGAATAAAATGTAACAACAGAGCAGCACCACCCAATAGATGGAATTGGGACTCACAACATGAGAGCAACACAACACCGCGCTAGAGGTGAACACAGGAACCGAACACCTACATGGCAGAACCAGGAGGTTCGGCAGGATCTCCTCGGAGGCAAGTCCGAGTCACTTGCTAGGGAGAGAAACAGTCTGGAGATCTCACCAGGTGAGAGCATACAGGTCCTGGGTCACTCATGAAGGAGAGAGGAGATAGTCCTGGGACATCCTCCAAACTTTCATCCAAAGGGGATTCTCCTATTCCCGAAGCACGGGAGACTCAAAGCCATGGGAAAGGTGGAAAGAAGGCTGCCCCTCCAACCCGCCCATTCTTTAGCCTGCCATAAAAGAGGAAGCCCTGAATGTCTGTTCAGGTTACATGGCGCCTTCCCCCGCTGCCTACGCAACAGGGATGGCCCAGAACCTGCTGCGCATGTGACAACCTCGCTTCCAAATCCACGTGGCAGAGCTTACCAGGAACCTTTTCAAAGCATGCTGGGGTTTGTCCTTTCCCTCAGCCACTGTGCAATTTATGAAGGACGGATGTCAATATTGCATGCACACCTCCAGTGCATAAACTTCTTGCCAAGAAGGCTCAGAGCCTTCCGAAACAGTAAGGCATGGTAATATTGCCAAGACCGCAAGCTCCTTGGTGGGAAACAATGGGTGAAAGACTGAGCTCAAACATGATGCCGCCAGACACCAGCTCAAAGCCTAGGACAGGAAGAGGCACCAGCACAAATGAGAATGGAGCTCGTATTTGCCCAGACAGTTGCTCTTGTGCATCCATGACTGCGTCATCATACCGAGCTTCATTTATGTGAGATGGTTACCTGGTCCTTCTTCTCCTTGACAGAAAGGAGGTGAAGAAGTGCTCAAAGATCCCTGCTTTCATGTAGCCTGGAAAAACAAAACCACCTAGCACATTTCCCCAGTTTGAACCATATGATTATGGATCAGACCTTCGAGCTGGTGTAAATCTACCCAGCTCTGACATTTAATGAGTCCAGTTGAGAGATCTGGCACTCTCTCTCTCCTGTATCAATTCCAAACAGACTCCATTGCCGTGGCTATCTATAAAGCCATTTCTGGTCTGTCTCCAACCACCTGGGCAGAAGTTTTATTCATTAGACACTACATTGATTTGTGTTGCCACCAGTTCATAGGCCACAAATCTCAGAATGTGCATATTTCATTTAATTTCTCTCCTGAGCCTTGTACAAAATGCAATGGGTTTCTACTCCTCCTAGCTTCTACTCACACAGAGAATATTATTGTTTGATGTCAACAGCAAGCATTTTTGTGCTTTCTCTCTGTGAAAACACCATCTCATTTTATGTCAGACAACAAAGTTTTTCTGCTTATGTAACTAAATTTTATTATCAGATTAATCTTTTATGATACGCTTTTACTAATATGGTTTACTGAATGAAGAGGCGAAGCAAAGGGAAGATGCTGCTGTCGTCTTTGGAACCTAGTTCACAGAGAGATCACAATAACAAAGAGGTGTTTATAACACCTCATAAATCTGCTCCTCCAACCTCATAAACCTCCAAACCTGCTCTTGGATACAAGTACTGATGCTCATCACAAGTAATGACACTTCAGAGATTAAAGGACTAGGAATAGGTAGAATATGCAATACAAGATTAATTTTGACTCATGCTGAGCTAGTTGGGAAAGATCCACACAGTTCCTGCAGACTGAACACAGTCCCATTGACACAAAGTCCAATTTTTACAATCCCACACTAAGTTTTTCACACTCACTTGGATATATAAAAAAACCCCAAGATATATCACCTGCATTTTCTGCTGTTGACCAGACAAACCCTATAGCTCATAGATAACGTTTTGGCACTCAGGTGATGGAACCAAGTGTCCCAGAAGAACACTAGGAAGTCTCCTTCCCTCATTAGGAGTGTGATAGAAAACAAGAATGTTCACCAGGCTATTTTCTGATGCTATTGGGATTCAGGGGAGAAATGGGCAGAATAGCTTCACCTTTCTCTTTGTGTGGATACTGCCTCTGCTGTTACTTGCAAAACTTGAAAAAAGACATTGATCCTGAAATCTTCTCAAACGACAATGGAACAACGGTATGTGACAAACAGCACACACTGCAGGAACACACACACCCATAAGTTTATTAACACTTACCTCCCAGTGAAGAAAATAATATATATTTTCTAAGCTTGTAACAACTGCAATCAGCTCTATGAAACTCAGAAATAGGCACTGCCCAAAGCTCACTCCTATATGATTTGCTGGGCATTCCTTGTAGCTTTAAAATTAGCTAATTTACCAGTTAATAAAAGTGAGGGATACTACCTTACCTGACAAAATGAGAAGCTCAATGATGTCCGCATCTCCCAGGAATGACGCAACGTGAAGAGGAGTTCGTTTCTCAGCATCCTACAAAATCATAGATTTTCCAGTTATAAAACACGGTCCATAACTGCAAGTGTTAGTGTTAAAGAGCAATCGATTTGTACATTGTGTTTATTTTTCTATGTGTATCTCTGTTTATAACTAGAAATGCAATCTCAACCAGTGAAGGAACAAAATTCAAGGTCTGAACACACTTCCTTCCAATAATCCTCAACTTTTTTACCACTTGGTTCCACCAGACCTTGCAGAGACACTGTCTTTACTCTGATATCCTTTTTACAGGTAGATCAAATCAAATCTAAATCGAGGACAGACATCATCCTTGGGTCACTTTCAGAAACATTTTCCACTCTAACTATTGAAGCCACATAGTTCAGATGTTTCTGGACATCAGACTTTATAATGCAGTTTGCATCAACAATATAACACCAGACTCTTCAGAAGGGTACCTCTGGAGAATGGTTTGGAATCACACACAAGGACAAGACACAATCCTCCTAGTCTACAAAGGTTCTTGTACACCGTTTAGCCTGGTTGTCTACAGCAGCCCAACATGGGCTTGTACACCTTGATCGACCTTTAAACACAAATAAATAAAATATTACCTGTCAGGTCTGTGTCTTTAAACTTAGAAAAATTGCTAAAAATCATATATACAGCTTCTGAAATACATCTGCTTTTATTTGATTTCTGTAGTTTTCAGCCTTAGGGAGTCACATTTTCAAGATTTCCTTTTCTAACTTCGAGGTGTAAATACAGTGTTTACCGTATTCTTCTACCTTTCTTTTATTGCTTTATTCAGATGATTCCAGAACATGGGCCTTTAAAAGAAACTGCTGAACACTGTAATATGGGGAAAAAAAAAAATCACAAGAACTGCTAATACTGCTAAACATGCTATTCGACCTCTGTTTCCTGTCATAAATGTATTTCATTTTGGTTTCTTAACCACTAACAAAAAAAAAGTTCTAAGAGACTTATCCATCAAACTTATCAAATTACAACCTACCAGCATTAAATACTGTAAGCTAGGAAAAGATTCAACACTTCCTGCAAATGATACCGACACAGAAACCCTACTCCTATTTACATTCTCTCCCTGAAACATATTTCTGAGCCTGTCAAGTAAAATATCACTTTTAACATGCCTAAGAGGTCATCAGCTGCAAGCTATTTTGGACTATCTTTCAAAAGTATGTATAAACGCGGACAAATCAGTGCAGCAGGACCATTTGCCATGTGAATGCTGAAAATTGCTTTCCAGCACTGCGAGGCACAGAGCCACTGGTCACCAGAATAAGTTATGTTTGATTTTTATTTTTGTATGTTTTTTGAAACATACGTGATGTATGTAGTCCTCAAATTCTGCTGCAGTGGGTTTTGATCTTACATGTTACATTGGGCATGCACATAAAACAGTCAAAACAGATTATGTGACACTCTGGTCGACACAGGTCAGAGGGAAAGATCTTACAGAACTTCACCGCCTCACATGGTAGGCAAATTAGAACAACATTAAGCAGTGCCTGTTCAGCAGTGCCCACTCAGGACCCAAAATCACAAACTGTATTCTCTCATATGCTCAGTTCCTAAAACTTAACCCACCACCGACCAGCTGTTACAGGCTACATGAGTGCCTACGACCCCTTCCATAAGTATTGCTTCATACTACCTATCCTAAGGCTACCTGTTGCAAAAAGTATGCTAAGACCAATTGAACATTTGCACAAAAATAGAATTGGTTTATCTTTTTTTTAGCTTGTTCATTTTAACGCACAAATCTCTCTTTGGCGTAGTGCAGTAGTAGTAGTAGCTGCAGTCACCTCTGTAAACCAGAGATCAATGCAGAAGTTTTAAGTATGTATAAATGAGGGAAGTTCATGTTGCCTGAAGTCCACCAGTTGCTCTTGGTGCTGGCTTGTCTCCAGATTGGATTTAAGGCATCCATTTGATCTATCACATCTAAGTGACTTGGAATCTTCCAACCTGAGAGACTCTTTTGCTGTGTCACCTGGTAAGAGCACCTGGCTGGAGTCCCTCTCCTATGAAGACAGGCTGAGAGAGTTGGGGCTGTTCAGCCCGGAGAAGAGAAGACTCCAGGGTGATCTTATTGTAGCCTTCCAGTACCTAAAGGGGGCCTACAGGAAAGCTGGAGAGAGACTTTTTACAAGGGCATGTAGTGATAAGACAAGAGGCAATGGCTTTAAACTGAAAGAGGGGAGATTTAGATAAGATATAAGAAAAATGTTTTTCACTCTGAGGGTGGTGAGGCGCTGGAACAGGTTGCCCAGAGAAGTTGCAAATGCCCCATCCCTGGAAGTGTTCAAGGCCAGGTTGGATGAGGCTTTGGGCAACCTGGTGTAGTGGAGGGTGTCCCTGCCCGTGGCAGGGGGTTTGGAACTAGATGACCTTTGAGGTCCCTTCCAACCCTGACCATTCTATGATTCTATGATTTGTAAAAGCTGTCGTACCTGTCAACAATAAATTTTGCAGCAGCTTCTTGCAGCACAGCTGAGTTTGGCAACAGAACAGAGTAGTTCGAAGTTGAATACTAATGATACAAGACCATGCAATTTTCCATATCAAGGAACCAAGGCTACTCAATGCTTACTGGTTATAAGAAATACTTTATACTGAACTGTAAATCTGATGGAAATTATAATGGAGGGAGGAAAGGACACGAAACAGAAAAGTAGAATTTTTATCCTCCTGTAACAGGAATAACTCTCTGTGAGTATTCTCAGCTTTCACTTTCTAAAAATCAGTGCAAAATCCTATCAAACTAAGTGATAGGAGAATCAAGTGAGAATCAAGTCTTTCAAAAAAAGATGTGTTTAGTCACACAACTGAATTTAAGCTTAATTTCTCCAAGAGCAAAAAACCCTAAAATTTCTCAATTTATCACAACCAGCTACAAACCAGAGTTCACCCTCACATGAACTAGCAGATGACAAAACCTGATGTGTGGTATAGAAAATTAAAAACACACAGAAAAGCCCTATGGGCAACGTTTTCAGGAGTTTGGCAAGGAAGAAGTCCGCACTCAAGAGCTGCAGCTGAGCACGCAGCTGAGCAACTCAATGGAGGAACATCCTCAAGTTCCTGTTTACTCTCTACACAAGGCTGACACAGAAACCGAGGAAGTGGGGCACCTGCCTGTCTGTCCAGCTGCCCTCCTTGCCTCCTCCTCAAAGCCGTGTGCCACTTCAGCCAGAGTTACATGGCTCACCAGCTTTGCGCCTGGCCCATGCACTAACGGCAATTCAGCTATAGATGTCCGTGTCGCATGACGGTAGGAAAAGGAGTACATGTAAATCGGTAATGACCTCAAGACTGAAGGCTACAAACAGAGAGTGGGGAATAAAAAGAAAATTTGTCATTTCAGGGAAAGGTCTGGCAGTACCCCAAACCTGAACATACGTTATCCAGGCAAGGAAAGGAGGTGGGGGAAAGAAATGATAACAGGAATACAAATAGCATTAAGACAAATAATCAGACCTGCTTCAAGTGCAGTTCTCAGAGGAACAAAAGGTCAGTAAGAGACAGGGGATAAGCTAAACAATGGCTAGAAAATCAGGCTGAGATAAGACAAACACTCTCTCCCCAACACTGAATTAGTGACTTATATTGGTTCATGGAAAAGATGATGTTGCATCTTAACATTATCTGCATTTTTTTTTTAAAAAAAGGTACAGATAAAGGAAATGAAGAGTTTAACAAACAGGCAATTAAGGACAGAAGGCCTCAGCAAGAAAAACACTCAACACATGCTTAAACTGTTCAAGTGATCACAGTGACACTGATAAGACCCTTCACTGGCTTAAAGTTAGGCTAGTCCTTAAGTGCTTTATTGGATCAGAGCCCCAGAGTACACGAAGATTAGTAGAACAGTGGCTCAGATGAATCATATCAGCACACATAAAATATTCAGGCACATAAAGAAAAAGGCCAGTTTCTCCTCAACACAGCCTACATCTCAAAGGAGACAAAGGTTGTGCACTTTTATATCACCTGCAGCTGTTCAGATCAGAAGATATTTGGCACAGAGTTATTTGTTATTAAAATATAAATGCAACTGCTACAGAAAATGTCTGTATTCTCTTTTTGTCACCAAACAGCCTGAGCAGCCAACAGGAGTAGTTCAGCACAGAAGGAGTTAATGCACCACAGAAATCAAGTTAATGAGGTTTCATAGGTAAGAAGTGTTTGGATTCTCACCACCTTCAAGCAGACAGCGATCCACCTGGGTGGCAGAATAAACAACTATATTAGAGGCACATGAACAGCTACAACTTCCATTGATACAAGTCTAACCAAAACAACAGAAACAAAGCTCCTGCTCACTCCATCAACTGTTGTTACACCTGAGTACACCTTACTTAAATAGCACAAAGTAGCTGGGACCATTAAAAAACTAAAGCATTCAGATACAATTTGGCTTCAGGAAAATTAAAATATTGGGAACTGGTTAGGAACTACTGAAGAGGTTAAAAGCAAATGAGCAGCTACGTCTTGGGCTGTTTTACAACTGTTCAGAGCCAAAGGCTGATGCTGTACAAAGAAAATCTCTGCCGCTTCAGGATTTCCTCCCTCTCACAGATTCTTTTATTAAAGCCTGTAATTCACAAAGCAAATCAAAAAGCCCAACTGTGAGCACCGCTGGGAGGTGAAAGCCAAGTTGTGCAACTTGTGCCTGGTGCTTTTCTTCTGCTATTACCAAGCACAGAAATTCCCGTCTGAAACCACAGATTCTTGCTCCAGCACCTCTCATCTGCACAGTCTTCAGTTTAGCCTCAGAAACAAAGATTTTTCTGGACTGTCTTTGTTTGCCAAGGGCCCACAAGATGGAAGAGGCAAATACTTCAATCTTCTAGAGACAAGAAAAACTCTCTTCCCTCTTTCCCCCCATCTAACACTTTCCTTCCATGAGGCTGACAGTAGCTTTCATGCTAGAAAAAGGTAACTTCTAAAATTAATTACTAATCCCAGATTGAGACTGTAGAAACTGTTATCCTAATTAATGG